GGACGAAAAACCGAGGTCCCGTGCACACATTGGCGTGCACGTAAAAGATCCCTTGCCAGTTGGAATTCGATATAAGAGTAGGTCGTAGTGCCTTCCCTCATAGCACACTGTATGGCGTATGCCCGTCTTCATTAGCCCAGTTTAGGAGCAGAACAGCAGGACGTTAAACTCCATTTCATTTCATTTCATATATTTATTATTGTAAGTGTATTGTATTATATTGTACTCTGAGTACGAATAAATATATTATTATTATAACATTTCAGGCACAATGAAAGACCTGTAATAGGCAGATTTAGCTCTTGCATAATGCATTGTTAATAGTTTATATAACATTTCAGGTCTAAAGGAAGACCTGCAATAGGCAGATTTAGCTGTTACATAATGCATGTTTAATAGTTTATATAACATTTCAGGCCTAAAGAAAGACCTATAATAGGCAGATTTAGCTCTTGGATAATGTAAGTTTAATAAATAATTAAGCGAAGACCGACAAGATCTAAGATAATAAAAACAAAACCTTCCTCATATCTGATTACGAGTTATGTACATAATTGACAATTGAGCATCACGAAAGCAAGTTCCGTCATAGACAATTCCATTAACAATCTGAAAGGCGGGGGCAACCGACAAATTAACCTTAGACGTCATTTACTAGACTTGCATTCTGAACAACTTCATGAGTTAATCACGTAGGCCGAGATCTCAAAGTAATCATGGGCAAGATTGTAAATTTTGTAAACGCAAGACGCTGGAAAATTTTCCTAACAAGAGATGTATGGAATTGAAGGACTGGGTTAGACCGTATTCGTGCCGAGCAATCACAATAACACCACTTTGCGATGGGTATCGTACATGGGACAGGTTATATTAATTCGTTTCCTAGGGGAGAGAGAGAAAAATGGGGTTTAATGTCCACTCGACACAAACTAGGTCATTAAGGGACTAACATATGGTTTAATTTTATTTCATTAATTCGCATGCGCGTAGGGGTCTTTAGCAGTGGTGGGAAACCGGAGGATCCGGAGAAAACCCAGAAGGTTGGGCAGGCGACCCTACTCCTTGTCAGGAACAACCGGGTAATAGAAACCACGCCAGTTGACTCAATGACAGACCTTATGATACAGGACCCGGAGAAAACCCACGAGGTTGGACAGGCAACCCTACTCCCTGTCACGTACAACCGGGGAATCGAAACCACGCCAGTTGACTCAATGACAGACCTTATGATACAGCGCGCACGTGCTAACCATTCGGCCAGCCAACCCCCCTATATGGAATTGAAGGACTGGGTTAGACCGTATTTATTGCCGAACAATCACAATAGCACCACTTTGCGATGGGTATCGTACACGAGACTGGTTATATTAACTCGTTTCCTAGGATGACCTGTGAGTTTGAAATTTGGAATAAGTAATAACGCTTTATTTGTAAAGATGTGTTAGCTTTCTTGGGTTCTGTGTCGGTTAGTAAAGAAATATTTACAATTTGATTTCATATAACTATAAATCGTTCAAATGTGACTAGTCATCGCTAAAATATACGGGTATGGGATGGCCAAAGGGTTAAGGTCGGTCATTGAGTCAGGTAGCGTGGTTTCGATTCATCACTGGTACGTGACAAGGAGTAGTGGTGCCTATACAAACTCGTGGGTTTTCTTCGGGTACCCTGGTTTTCCCCCACTGATAAAGACCCCTACGCGCAAGCGAATTATTGAAAAAAAAATTGAACCATATGTTAGTCCCGAAATGGCCTAGGTCGCCTGTCCAACCTCGTGGGTTTTCTCCGGGTCCTCCGGTTTCCGGCCACTGCTAAAGACCCCTTCGCGCAAACGAATTATAGAAATAGAATTGAACCATATGTTAGTTCCGAAATGTCCTACTCTCTCTCTCTCTCTCTCTCTCTCTCCGCTGTATCGTAAAGTCTGTCATTGAGTCGACTGGCGTGGTTTCGAATCCCCGGTTGTACGTGGCAAGGAGTAGGGTCGCCTGTCCAACCTCGTGGGTTTTCTCCGGGACCTCCGGTTTCCTCCCACTGCTAAAGACCCCTACGCGCAAGCGAATTATGTAAATAAAATTAAACCATATGTTAGTCCCGAAATGACCTAGTTTGTGTCGAGTGGACGTTAAACCCCATTTCTCTCTCTGCTAAAGACCCCTACGCGCAAGCGAATTATGTAAATAAAATTAAACCATATGTTAGTCCCGAAATGACCTAGTGGACGTTAAACCCCATTTCTCTCTCTCTCTCTCTCTCTCTCTCTCTCTCTCTCTCTCATTGGTTTTTCGCGTATTCATATGGAGAGAGATGTGTTATTTTTAAATTTGAATCACCCCGATACATTATAATCAGATATTCATCCGCCATTAGCACCTCTGGGTTTTTTGTTTTTGTTTTTTTTTTATTATTTAACGCTTTATAAATGATGGCCACATTATTTATTTTCTCCTATAGACAAATCATTATGGCTTTCCCAGTGTATTATTATCCTTTTATATTATCTTTAATTTAATTGGGTACATAATCAAATGGCGGTATCATGATTGCCTACTAATGGCTACATGAACACGCGTTTCAATTACCATTTGCTGTATGGAAGACCAAACAGCTCATTATTTAGTGCAATATTTTTCACAGAGAATTACGAGTCCTCTAATATCTCTGTAAAAGATGACTGCCTTTAACACGTGCCGCAACAGCACGCGGCGTCAATCATTGGCTGAATGGTGCATGCATTGTTTACATAAGACGTTACTGCTTCGGGCAGAATGCTGCCTTTTAGTCATTTTAATACCCATTTACACTAAATAGGAAATACTTTTTACCTACAAATACGTCAAACGTCTTTATTTATTTTTCTAATACACCCAAAAAATGTTTTAGAATTTAATTTGTCTGTGGAAAAAAGTTAATATTTGAGACTCATTAAGTCGCATTGATGTCATCCTTATCAGTGATTGTAGCGCCCTAGCGAATATTCACTGCTGATCAGTGTGTATGCCAGGTTGATATCCGCTTATGTCGTCATAATGTTCCGGTTCGATGAATTTCGAGAAATATGTTTTTGGAGAAATGTTATTGAAGAAATGTTTTTGGAGAAATGTTTTGTAAGATTTGTATTTGGAGAATTGTATTTAGAAATTTGTTGTTCCAGATTTGTTTTTTGTTGTATGTCTATGATGAAATGTAAATGTAGGCTAATTTTTTAGTTTCTTTTAAAAAAATGTTATATTTATATTAAAATACAATTAAAATACAATTTTACAAAACTAAATCTGATATGACAAATGGCTGATTTGTAAAACAAATATTGATTTTAAGATTCAAATGTTAATTTTAGTGCACAAATATAGAAAATACGACAACAAATGAAGAAATAAGATTTAAGGACTATGAATTAAGAACTAAGAATTAAGAACACTGAATAAAGAGCTGTTTGGTCTTCCATATTGCTGTTCAATGAAGTTTTGATTTCAATGCTAGACAATTAATATGTAATTTAAGAAATACATCTAGTAGAACTGTAATGAGGTTTAACGTACCACCTGAACGACTATACGTTGTCGCTTGCCAGGCCCTCCGATGGTGGAAGTAAATGAAATAAAATTGAACCATACGTTAGTCCCGAAATGACCTAGTTTGTGTTGAGTGGACGTTACCGCCCTCTCTCTCTCTCTCTCTTCTCTCTCTCTCCCTCTCTCTCTCTCTCTCTCTCGGTTGATGTATTAAAAATGAAATGACATGGGTATTAACGTGAGAGAGAGAGAGAGAGAGAGAGAGAGAGAGAAATGGGGTTTAACGTCCACTCGACACAAACTAGGTCATTTCGGGACTAACATATGGTTTAATTTTATTTACATAATTCGCTTGCGCGTAGGGGTCTTTAGCAGTGGGAGGAAACCGGAGGACCCGGAGAAAACCCACGAGGTTGGACAGGCGACCCTACTCCTTGCCACGTACAACCGGGGATTCGGAACCACGCCAGTCGACTCAATGACAGACTTTATGATACAGCGCGCGCACGCTAACCATTCAGCCATCCAACCCCCCGGGTATTAACGTCCTACTGTTCTGCTCCGACTGGGGTAATGAAGACGGGTATACGCCATACAGTGAGCTATGAGGGAAATTTTACCTATTCTTATTACGAATTCAAACTGTCTTTTACTTGCACGTCAGTGTGTAAATTGGGTCTCAGTTTTTGTACAATCCGAAGGACTAGACACTATTCCTTGCCAGGCCAAAAATACGATACCATACTCCCTTCCAATACCAATAACGAACACCACCATCACCCCGTCCCCCACCCCCCAATCAACTGCAAGCAGTTTGTCCCTTGTGACTTTTTCTATTCCACGCCAAAAACAGAAACAAAAACAAAAACAGAAAAAAACAGAAACAAAAAAATATCACCAGGCACGTGTACAATTTACTCGGTGTCATTGATTTAAGTGGCGTGGTTTCGATTCCCCGTTCGTACGTGACAAGAAGTATATAGGGGTTCGCTAGTCCCATTCCCGCTTTTCCTCCTGCTGCTAAAAAACGGTTTATTGAAATAAAATTAAACCGTGCGTTAGTCCCGAAATGACCTAGTTTGTGTCGAGAAGACCGCAAACCCCATTTTTTCTCACAAACACACCCATTCCATTACGGGTTTTCTCCGTGTCCTCCGCCCCCACCCCCACTACTAAAGACCCCTACGCGCAAGCGAATTATTGAAATAAAATTGAAGCGTGTGTTAGTCCCGAAATGAGCTAGTTTGTGTCGAGTGGACCCCCAACCACATGTTTTTCTTTCTCACACACACACACCCTATTACGACATAACATAACGGTAGAAGCTGGGAATTTACATTTCACCGGTTGAAACTAACCCAGAGATGTGATTGAATGGGAAAGAATCGCCAAGATCGATTTCCACGGCGGTACCATATATAACTGATCCAATCTTATAACATACAATGAACAATAACCAATTCAAACTATGAAATAACTACTTACCTTTCCTGGTGAATAGTACCTGTTTAATGTCGAGGTTATGACGAAGGTTGTCTCTGTCACGAGAAGCAATTGTCGTTTAGTGGCAGCGATAATGACACCAGTAAGATCCCCCGGAGAGTACAATATGTCGTCCACTCACCCGAGCCATACAATCGTCAGTGCTAGCACCATTCTGGCATCATCGATCCATCACGTGATCACTGTCGAGTTTGCTTGGAGATGGGCTTAGAATGACAAGGAATAACCGATAATTTTCTTCTATGATGATGACCAATCATAATTTAATCAGGGGATCGATCGCTGAATAGATCACGTCTCATCTTAACGTATTGGCTATATATTCGATCATTATCCGGGTCCTATTTAATAACGGTAAATGTCATTGCAAACCAACAAACGGTTTATTAGGTACTAATTAGCATAATAGTAATAAACAGTGCTAGGTTCATTATCGCTGTCAGGGACAATATATACTTATTAATCAATGCCAATTAGGTGAGAGATATGACTATCCATAACCGACTGGTCGTTAATGGAGGTGTGGTTTCGGATCCTAATTAAACACGACAAGTTCTAGGTATTGATGGCTATATCTATTTATTAAGGCCAGCTCAATTTTCCACAAGGCCGCTGAGATATAAATACGGTTAGGGCACGTGATTGTTGGTTAGATTGTGGGTTAGTGTTAGGGAAAGCATTGGGATAGATCCTGGGTTCGGTTGTGGGTTGGGATTAGCGCAAGCCCTGTTTACATATCATGAATGATACTTGACCAAACTTGAAGTTGGCCTTATATAAATTCTAACAATGTCGCCAACACAATAGAAATATGGATTTGACGATATGTGTGTGTGTGTATATATAAAATGATTGGTGTCGATTCCCCAGTTGTACGTGACAAGGAGTAGGGTCGCTTGTCCAACCTCGTGGGTTTTCTCTCTCTCTCTCTCTCTCTAAAATGATATTATTTAGAGACACGCCTTGCTATCATAATTTGTTAAGATCACAGCGTGTAGTATTTGCGTCATTTATACGTATACTGTAGTAATTAAACATTGACAGTATACGCTAGATTTGTATGATAAATCAATAAAAGAGAGAGAGAGAGAGAGAGATAGAAATGGGGTTTAACGTCCACTCGACACAGTTAAAGCAGAAAGCTATAGATTAGTACAGATTCACAACTTTAAGAGAGAGAGAGAGAGAGAGAGATGGGGTTTAACGTCCACTCGACACAGTTAAAGCAGAAAGCTATAGATTAGTACAGATTCACAACTTTAAGAGAGAGAGAGAGAGAGAAATGGGGTTTAACGTCCACTCGACACAGTTAAAGCAGAAAGCTATAGATTAGTACAGATTCACAACTTTAAGAGAGAGAGAGAGAGAGAAATGGGGTTTAACGTCCACTCGACACAGTTAAAGCAGAAAGCTATAGATTAGTACAGATTCACAACTTTAAGAGTGAGAGAGAGAGAAATGGGGTTTAACGTCCACTCGACACAAACTAGGTCATTTCGGGACTAACATATGGTTTTATTTTATTTCAATAATTCTTTAACAGTGAGAGGAAACCGGAGGACCCGGAGAAAACCCACGAGGTTGGACAGGCGATCCTACTCCCTGTCACGTACAACCGGGGAAAATCCATAATAACAATAAGATATGGTCTAAAGTAATCAAGAGAGAGAGAGAGAGACAGAGAGAGACAGAGAGAGAGAGACACGCACACACACACACACACACCCACACACACACACCCACACACACACACACACCCATACAGAGGGAGAGAGAGGGAGAGAGCCGTCTCCATTACCCCAGTCGGTTCAGAGAGTGTGAGAGAGGGAGAGAGAGAGAGAGAGGGGGGGCGTTAACTTCCACTCGACACAAACTAGGTCATTTCGGGACTAACATATGGTTCAATTTTATTTCAATAATTTGCTTGCGCGTAGGGGGTCTTTAGCAGTGGTAGGAAACCGGGGGACCCGGAGAAAACCCACGAGGTTGGACAGGCGACCCTAAAGGAATCAAGCATGGAATGATCTGGAATGTGGTTGTGTCGTCATGACAGGGATCCACGGAGGATCGGTGAGTTGGACACTGGCTCACTAATCAGGAGGTCAGGGTTCGATCCCGGTGTTTTCGAGAAAGTTCCTCGAGATTTGTCAACGTAGGAACGGGAGGAAAAACCGAGGTACCGTGTACTCGTTTCCGTGCACGTAAAATAACTCTTGACAGTTATAATGCGAATAAGAGTAAGTCGTCCATAGTACTCTGCATGCGTATGTCCGTTCTCCTTTGGGGAGGGGGGGGGGTGACCGAATGGTTAACGCCTTGGATCAGAAGGTCCGTCATTGTGTCAAGTGACGTGATTTCGATTCCCCACTTGTACGTAGCAAGGAGTAGGGTTTTCTCCGGGTCCTCTGGTTTCCGCCCACTGCGAAAGACCGCTTCACGCAAGCGAATTATAGAAATAAAATTAAACTATGTGTTAGTCCCGAAATAACCCAGTTAATCACTCTCTCTCTCTCTTTCTCTCTCTCTCGTTTTCATCAGATCAGTTGCTACAGAACAGTAGGACGTTAATCCCCGTTTCATTTTATTGTTTGTCCCAGCAACTGACCCTGTGGTTTTGGGGGTGATGTTCTTCGAAAAAAACCTAAGGCCCGGCCAATTCATGTACGATTGACATGAAACGTGACATCTATGTGCCTTCGACTACTGCGTACCCACTTGCCACCTTTGATACTATGACGTCACAATTCTAAGATGGCTATGATGATGCTACAATCTTATTAAAATACAGATCTATATTTCGTTTCGTTTTTTTATACATTCGATGGCCTTCACTACATGAAGACCTGACCGGTTGTAGCGATAGATCGCGTCAGAAGTCATACTAGCGGCTTTTGACCCTATGACGTCAAACATTTGATTGACCAATCAGCATTGATGTTACTAGTGGATTACCCGCAGTTCCGTGCAAAACACGCCTAAAGCTCGCCGTAACTGAGCGTTTCATTGGCTAATCCCTCACACCATTCAGAACACGTCAATGATAACAACTCTTACAGATCCTAGTGTAGTAAAGATAAGTAAAACGAAATTTTGAACTATAAAAACGAAACGAAATAGGATCTGTGTTTTTTAATCAGATTTACTTACCTAATGGATTAAATCAACAATCGTTTCACCTGTCATCAGGAATTAATTATTCAAGTGACGTTTTGATGTTTGATTAACTTTGACATATTTTTCGTTATTTATTTAACAAAAATCCTACAGATTTCATTTATCATCTGGGGATCACGGTGGCTAAGTGGGTGCGCTTTAGATCATAACGACTATCGGGTAGTCACAGTGGCTAAGTGGGTAAGACGCTGACTCGCTAGCCTGGAGGTCGGGTGTTCGATCGCTGCATTGGCCGAGAAAGTTCATCCAGATTTTCGACGTGGTTTCCCCTACTCAGTGATGCAGGACGGAGGGCCTGACAAGGACAGCTGTTTAGTCGTTCGGATGTGACGAAAAACCGAGGTCCCGTGTACACATTGGCGTGCACGTAAAAGATCCCTTGGCAGTTGGAATTCGATATAAGAGTAGACCGTAGTGCCGCTGTCCGGGTAAAATATCCCCCATAACACACTGTATGGCGTATGTCAGTCTTCATTAGCCCAGCTTAGGAGCAGACCAGTAGGAAGTTCGTTAAACCCCATTTCATTTCATTTCATTTATTATCCATGGTACGAGAAGCGTGGCAGCTCATTCTAAGGACATCCGATTCATACAAAGCCGGAGTAAACCCACGGCGCTGTCCGGGCAAAATTTCCCTCATAGCACACTGTATGGTGGATGCCCGTCTTCATTAGCCAGTTTCGGGACAGAACAGTAGGACGTTAAACCCCATTTCATTTCATTTCATTTCATTTATCATCTGTAGTGACCATCAAATAAAAAAGACTTGTGATCAAATAAACATCTTCAAGATCAAGTTAATTAACTGTTTTAATAACAATAGTATTACAAAAAAACAAGTTAATTAACTGTTTTAATAACAATAATATTACAATTATTTGATATAGTAATAAAAATTACTTTAAATAATAATAATGATATATATATATAGTAAGTAATAGCCAATAAGTTTAATAACAATAGTATTACAAGTCAACAAGTTAATTAACTGTTTTAATAACAATAATATTACAATTATTTGATAAGGTAATAAAAATTACTTTAAATAATAATAATGATATATATAGTAAGTAATAGCCAATAAGTTTAATAACAATAATATTACAATTATTTGATACAGTAATAATAAACAGGGTAGGGTGTGGTCGAGTGGTCTGGTGCGCGCTCTTCGGATCATAATGTCTGTCAAATCCGAAGCTTGTACAATGTTTGTGACAAGGAATAGGATCGTATGCCCAACTTTGTGGGTTTTTCTCCGTTTTTCTCCCTTAATAAATCCCTTTAATGAACCAGATTGTAAAATCAAAGGGCAAGACAGTATATTAGATTATGTAACAATTTATTCTTATCTTTGTTGCATATTGTGTATATATTTGTCTACTATTCACATACCTGTATCATTTACTTGATAAAGATGAGAGTATACTCGTCAAAACATCGCTTAGTATTAAACTCAGTAATTGTGTATCCATAAAATTATACCTTATGTTAAAGGAACTATCTCGATAGCAAGAGAGTCTCAAAAATAAAAGTCGGAGTACGTATGAAATGTAAGCGCCAAAATATAGAGGAATGGGGTATTTACCTTCTCTCAAAATTCCAGCTCAAAATATTGAGTCGTTTGGACGCGAGTGTCAAAATTGCTTATCCGGACACGTAACCCGTTTAAGATTTCGGGTCATTTTATTCGTTGGGTGACCTGATAATCGATTCCCGTTCCTTGAGAGATCTATGTAGTGAATGACCCATGTGCTGTACTTGATAACGAAAAGTAAATTTCAACTACACGTTATTATTTATAAAATAAAAGTCTAGTTTTATCCAGACATCGCATAATACAGCTTGGGACACCCATCTCCATTTCCAGATGAAGACTGACGGGTTTAAGTTAGTTGTTCGGCCCTTAGGTAGGGGATTTTAAGGGATTTTAACACAAAATTAA